AAACAATCAGTAAATGCTAATTTAAATAAAAAAAACAACACATTACTATTGACAACTCTCAAAACAATTATTTTTTTTTTCTGTGTTCACAACTCGAAAGTTTGAAAACTGCAAACAAATGTCTCGGTCCGTGATGAATGGTTCTTCAAATAAATTGGAAAAAAATATTCACGCTCCAGAAGTTTGATGTAAATGACTGCCTGCCCGACGACCGCTTACTGCTACTGCTGCATCTTCAGCAGCATCGCTTTTTAATTTCACACAGGTCTGCACTGAAGCTGGAAATTTTAGCCAGTGTTTAAAAGTTATTGGAAACAATTTTTGTTTAAATTTTTAGACTTGAAACTCTTTCAGCCTCTACAGAAAAAATGAAATTTTGTTAACCTCTCTATGGAAAACTATTAGTTTTGACATCTAAATTGACTAAAAATCTAAATATTCATCATCATGATATTCATCACCGAACTACTTCCCTGTTTGACGCGTGTGCTTCTGCTGATGCATGCTGAATGCTGACAGCAGCTCTAGAAAAGCTGGCTCGGTGCAATTATTTCTTGATTGGTGATCTCTAGGTAGCCAGGTTAGAAGCGAATGAACAGATCTCCTGTTGTTATCTTCCAGTTTATGACACAGTGCTCCAGTTCGAGTGCACGCACACCGGCATACATTCCCACGTTGCAACATATGTGGACGGGAGGAATATCTCAACAAACAGTTGCATCAAAGCAGGCCGGAGTGCGCGCGTCCTTTGTGGCTTTACATTTTTACTATATATATATATTAAAAGAAGTTGTTGTTACATTAATTGTGTTTATGTATATATATATATATTACAAATACAAAGTTTCAAATGTGTCATCCGGTACACTTATCTGACCGAATATTTTGGTTGACCACATCACATCCGAAGATCCAACTAACAAACATTTTTTTTACATACAAACTTATTCCCAAACGTTTTTGTATTCATGCTAATAAACATTTATTTTTACGTATCATTATAAATATCTGTGAGCTTATTTCTTTATAAATTTTCAATTTTAAATGTAATTAAATGAATAAACAGAACAAAACAGAAAGATTTGAACGGATGTTTGCAGGACGGACATCACATCACACAACATCAGATCACATCACATCACATCACATTACATCACAACAAATCACATGTGGTGGTTGTGGATATGTTGTTTGCTGAGTTGCCGCAACTGATAACGAGCTTATATGTAGCACTCGTTTATTCTTAACTCTCATCATCATCATCTCATCAGTCATCACCACTATCATCTTTATCATTTTTTTTACAATAGTAATCCAAATTTTCATCAAAGTTTGATGACACAGTTATATTTAAAGAAAACGAAATTTTATCCACCAAACAAATTGAGGGTTTTCAAATTTAGCGTTGAACAGGATAATCGAATCAGAATAATGTTCCCTGTGAATTATTTTTTTACTCTTACGCAAAGCTCCATGTATGCCGATGTTATGCTGTATAGCTACCCAATCAGTTGAGTGGTATCGATTTAAGTTTTCATCTTAATTTAAATTCAGAAAAAATCTACAAATGTATAACAATTTTTTACAAATTAAAAATTAAATAGATAAAATTTCCCACGCACCTCAATGCTTATTCATCGCAGGTTTCGACGTACAAGAAATGGACAGTGTACAACCACGCGTGTGTACGTTAATATATATATATATATATATTGTACACTAAAGTATGTATATATCCGGGCGTGTTTGTGTGTATATTTGCTAGTAGGTGCATGTGAACATGACATGGATACAACTTCTTCAAAATTTTCTTTCTCTTCCCAAATTATTCATGTCGCATTAATCATAGAAATTAGTCATTAAATTATCTTTTTGATGTATGTTGGTTCTTTTTTACTGTTGTTTTTTTGTTAGTTTTCAATATTTCGTTGCGTATTAAATTGAAACTAGAGTTCACAGAAAGTTCGATTGTTGGCATTAACAAGAATCAATCATCAAACTATTCAACACTTTTTAAATCATTGATGAGTTATAGACACTATCTGCCTGTGTATGTGTGTGTGTGTGTGTGTGTGTGTGTGTGTGTGTGTGTGTGTGTGTGTGTGTGTGTGTGTGTGTGTGGTCCAATTTATTTATGTTGTAATGTGCGGTGCTAAGCTATCGTAGAACAAATGAAAGTGGAAATTCGAACGAAGGTAAATCATTTCATTCTTTCACTTCATTCCTTCGTTTCATTTCATCATTTTATTTCATTCCTTTATTTCATTCATTTCATTTCATTCCTTCACTTCATTTTTTCCTTTCATTCCTTTTTTTCATTCTTTCACTTCAATCCTTCATTTCATTCATTCATTCCATTCCTTCATTCCATTCCTTTATTTAATACCATCATTTCATTCCTTCATTTCGTTCATTCACTTCTCCCAATTATTTAATCACTTCACTTCATTCTTTCCATTCCTTGGCGGGCATGGCATGAAAGTTTGATCAGGCAGTCTCTTATTAAATTGAAACAATTGGAAATTACCTGACGAAGGAAAAGCTTGCGTGCATGCAGGCAATTGCATCGCCCGTTCGCTTGTTTATTTCAATTTGGCCGCTTCCGCTGTCATCATCTTCATATCTACCTACCTACCTACCTACCTACCTACCTACCTACCTACCTACCTACCTACCTACCTACCTACCTACCTACCTACATATTTCTGATCTTATTTCAGATTTTAAAGAAATAAATATGAACATGAAAAATTTAGGCTTTTGTACTCATCAGTAAAATATAATCTATTTTAATCTAGTTTTTTATCAATATAAACAATGATGTTTTTTTTTCAAATTTAACCAAATTGATTTCAAAACCATTTTCCACATTTTTCTATACACTAAACTTTTTCCGTTGTACTAAAGTGGCTCAAAAAATTTCCTTCCAGACTCCACCCACTCTACATCATTCATTTGTTGTTCTCAGTAGTACTGCTGCATCTGTCTGTTTCTTTCTCTCTCTCTCTCACTCTCTCTCTTTCTCTCTCTTTCTCTCTCTTTTTTCTCTTCCCCTCTTTCTCTCATCTTTTATTATCTAAATAAAATACCTCTTTATTAGAATTCATATCAACAGAAAAAATAAAATAAATAAAAATTCTCGTGATAAACTTCACACACACACAACCATTAAACGTTAGTGTCCGCTCCATTTCCAACTAAAAGTTCGCCTCTACAAAGCATCAGAGACATTCAGACATCATCAACAACACGAAGAACAACACTGTTGGAAAAAAAACATCACTCGTCCGTAAAAACGACCTCATCGTTAAAACAACACCCAATGGCGCCTCATACTTGTCTGAGTGTTCTCTCTCTTTCTCTCTCTTTCTTTCTCTTTCTCTCTTTCTCTCTCGTTTTCCCTTTCTCTGTCTCGTTTTCTCTCTCTCTCTCTCTATATATATATATATATATATATAAATGTGTGTGTGTGTGTGCGCGCGCGTGTGTATGTAAAACTTCAAAACCCCATTACGTAAAATTTAATTGCTTCTGAGTGTGTATGACTTTCAATGTTGATTGTGTGTTAGTGGGTAGTAGTAGAAAATATTTGTGTCTCCGAAAGACAAGAGTAAAGCTAAATGGTAATGAAACAATACGTTAATTACCCAAAAAACATAACCAAAACATTGATGTCGCATGCAGAAGCCAGTGACGACGATGATGAAGATGATGATGACCTTGAGAATGAAGACGCTGACGACCACAACGACCATGATGTTCCCTGCCGATGAAAAGAGAACGTTTCGGACGCATCCAAGTGCAATTTTTAAAATGATGTAGAAAACAACAGACTCCACTGCAACATTCAGAACTGCAGCATCAACAACTACAACAACTAAAACAACTAAAACAACAACATTAGCAACTACCACTACTGCTACAACTACTACAACTACTGCTACAACTACTACAACTACTGCTACAACTACTACAACAACTAAAAATCAGTGATAAACAAAGTATTGACATCATGCACGCTACACATAAGGCATGAAAGCATTAACATTCACTACCAGCAATAGTTAAAAACAGAGCAGCAGCATCAAACAACAACAAAATTATTATAAAAAAAAACAACATTCAAGCAAAAACACAAAAAGAAAAATTTCAAATTTTCAAAAGATGCAGAAAACAAAAGAACAAACACATCAGGAGAACAATTTGATATCGTTAAAAACAACAAAAATTATATTAATACAAATCTTACACAAGCAAAACAAGCAAACTCAACAAAAACACTGAATAACAAAGAAGATTATTAAAATTGATGACAAATAAAAATAAGAGAAAAGACGCAATGCACCAGATAGAACCATTTTTTATACCATCATTTTGAAATATAAAACCTAGAAACACTATCATCATCTCACAACATCAAAAACAACAACAGACAAACAACAAACAAACAACAACAAACAACAACAGCAACAAACAACAACAGCAACAAACAACAACAACAAACAACAATAAACAACAACAATAAACAACAAACATCAACAAAATCGGACATACCTTAACTGAATAAAACAATAATTCAAGAACAACAAAACAAACAAACTCAGCAACAGGCAAACAACAAATCAGCAGAACAACAACGACTTACAATGCAACTCAATCATGACGACAGTAAAAATAATATTTCCGTCTAAACGTCTTTACTGAATTTGCAATTAGGAAGAAAAAATTTGTCAAGGACTTTTGTGACATTAACAAGCAAAACAACAACAACATCAACAACAACATCAACAACAACATCAATAACATCCTAATAAAAATAAAGACAACAACAACTATATAGAAGACAACATTCATTCAGCCCTTCATTCGACCAAAACAACTACCCCAGCAACAATTATTACATTAACAACAATAACATCAACCAATGTAATAGCAACAACAATATCAACATCAACAACATCTACAAAAACAACTGAAATAGCGTCAACATCAACTTCAACATGAGTTACAACAACAACAGCCATAGCATCAATTGCAAAGAAAACAACAACGACGACGACATCAAAAACGTAAACATCACCAACAACAGCAACAATGACATTAGCAATGACTTCAACAACAACAATAGCATCAATCGCAGCAACAACATCAAAAACATTGTGAGAAATTCCTCTTTCAGTGGCGGTCACAGTCAGTGCAAATATTTTGTTTACATAAACAATAATCAAAATAACTTCATCGCTAATATTTGCCCTGATGACTTTGTAGAAATTAAATACGACGATGACGATGATGACGTCAGAAATGCAGTTGTTGATGATGATGTTGTTGATGTCATTGTTGCTGTTGTTGATGATGATAAAGTTGATGTTGTTGTTGACGATAATAATGATGATGATGATGATGATGATGAGGTTGTTGGTGTTGTTGATGATGATGATGTGGTTGATGTGGATTATGATGATGATGATGATGTTGGTTGTGGTAATGATGATGTAGGTTGTGATGACGATGGTGAAAACATTAATAATAAGAATAATAATCAAGCTGACTTGAAAGGAAATGATGTTGATTGTAATGATAATGATGCCTATGACGAAGACTACGCCGTTGAAGATGACGATGATGATGACGAAGAAGATGACGGTGATGATGACGATTACGATGACGTCAGAAAGAATGATGAGGCGCATGACGATGGCAGCGGGCAAGAAATATTGGGATGGGACAAAGGAAATAATTCCTGTCCTTCAACTACATTTAATGAAAGTCAGGCAAAATATTATCGACAAAAACATAAACAACATCAACAACATCAACAACAACAACAGCAACAACAACAACAAAAACAACAACAACAGCAGCAAATACATCAGCTACTGAGGCTTGAAAAATATTATTGCAAGCAGCAATTTCTGTTTTTTTACCATCATCACCAGCATAAACAACAAACTTTTCATTCTTTCTATCCATCTAGACATCATCATTACCAACATTTTCCACATTATCGTCATCCTATTTCCTCTCTTCATCACCACAATCTTTCTCTGAATCATTTTTGTCCATACAACCATGGTGATGATAATTTTGAGGACAAATACCAACAACATCAAAAACATCAACAACAACAACGACAACAACATCAACAACAACATCAACG